AATTAAAATGCACCCAAGAGATAGTTGGAATTCCTCCAGTCATAGATGTCAGACTTTCAAATCGAGCTATCCTACCGAAAAAGGGAGATTGGTTCTGTAACAGTAGATCTCAGAGTTCACTAGTTTCAGGCTTAGCTGAATCCTGGCGCTCAAACTTCATAGTGAGGGCTTGTGTCTCCTTCCACCAAACACTCCTCTCTTCATGGGGCATAGCCAGCAGCAGCCCCAGACTCAGTGCTCAGCCACACCCAGCAGAAAGGCAAGTTTCCTTCCACAGCTGAGCTGGCTGTGTTTCTGTCCGTCCCACCAATCACTGCCACCCAGGGGATAGGGCGATCTGATGGACTCATCATCATTATATCACAGTGTCTGAAAAGCACACTGGTTTACAAAGCCCTTTACAAAGCCTTTTCATTTATGGCACTTCATTGGTCCTGACACTGGGAGGCAGAGAGGGAAGGACAGGGTACATAAGCCCATTTTACAGGCCGGGGAAGTCAGGCTGCAGACAGAGCTAAGGAGAGTTTACTGTGCTGCTCACATATCTGAGAACCAAGTCTCACTGTGAGTGGGATTGAGGCAAGAAGCTACTTACGAGTGTCTGGTCCTTCCACTTACGGACGTTTACATCGGGCACGCTGGCCTCCCAGGGGCAGGCTATGGAGCAGCTGGGGTTACAGCTGGCTTTGGACTTCCCCATCCCTGGGCCTGCCATGACCTGTGCGGGGAGGGAAAGGATGACCCTAGGGTTTGCTGTGGCCAAGTGCCCACCAGCACATTGTGCGTATCTGTGATCATTAGAAAGTTTTCCTTGGGCAGAAGCTGAGGGGGCTGTCCCTGGTCTCAGGTAGTAAAGGCCCAGCCCCTGAGATGCCCGGAGTCCTGGGGGAGGACCCGCTCTGGAAAGATAGTGCCAACCTCGACAAGGGTGACCCTCAGAGGCATGGCCACATCCCAAGGTGGAAAAAGATCCCAGCTAAGTTGGGCTCACCTGAGGCAGGCTCACCCTACAGGCCAGCCAGTGCCCAGGCCACCAGAAACAAGAACCCAAGGCTGGAATGAACAGCTTTTCAAATGACAAAGCTGCTTCGCGGATGGACATGTTGTCCCTCTTTGGGTAATCAGACCTACTACTGAAAACCCACAAAGCCTTGGGCCAGATGTTTGCCATTTCCGTGTCCTGTGCTGAGTCTGTACTACTAGGCCGGGCCTGGCCCTCGGCATGTACCCCGACATCAGTCTGCGACTGCAGGTTGTGAATCAAGATGCCAGGGGAGTGTCCGGGAGTCAGGCCTTGGCCCGCAAAGCATCAGGGCCCGTCCAGAGAAGCGA